GCGCTGCTGATCCTGGGGTAAGGCCGGCGGTGGAGTGCGGGCTCCTGGGCGCAGCCTAGCTCGCTTTTCGGCTGCCCGGGCCGGCTCCGCCTGCCTCGGAAGGACGGATTGTGGAGGGGTTTTTTTCCAGTTTCTTAGAGCCTCTCAAAGTGGAGGGTCCCCACCCCAGGGTCCTCGTTTCCCGTCGACTGACAGTCTCGACATCACCTGGGAGTTTTTAGGAATGCATTGCTCACCCCACACTAGAAATGCTGACTCTGAAGTGACATTTTAACACGCTTCCCAGGATTGAGGTGAACCTTAAAGTTTGAGGAACCCTAATGTACCACTGACAGTGCCCTGTATTTCCAGCAAAACTGTGCCCCCAAAAAGAAAAAAAAAGCTTTATTTGCCTCTTTTTGGGACCCTCGTTATAAGGTCTGTTCCAGTGTGAGCGCTTCCTGTTTTGTACACGAACTCTGGTAATTTTTTTCTCTCTCCAAACTGTTCTCTATGCAGAGTTTATTGACACAGTGGTTCAATAAACACGTGTTCAGTGAACTACTAGCAAAGTTTGCAGACTTCTTGGAGCTCATTCTTTTATTCATATTCCGAGCTTCAATGAGAAGTCTGCAAGCCTTTACCTTGCTATTCTCATTAGACAAAGAAGGAACTAGTGAGAAAAGTGGTAGTATGTGGTCCGTCGACTTTTCCTTTGTGACTGCTGTTTCCAGCAGAGTAAATTAGATGTTAAAATCCTGAAAATTTTATTACACAGCTCCACTCTGAGGTAGACTGATGCTTCGCCTTCTCTGGTTTTCTGAAATCAGCCAGGAATCTGGTGTGGCAGTTTTGGATTTAGCATGAGAACTGGATTCAAATCCAAGCTTTGTTACCGGGAAAAGGAAAATAATTACCTCGGTTCTTAGCCCCCCCTCCCCCAAAAGAATTTTTAATGAGAGACAAAAAGCGTGATATAAGCAAGATTTTTATTAGTGAAGTAAAAAGGTAGTGAAAGATAGTAGACTCCCGAGAACTGGGAGCGGGCCCATGCAAGAGAGGAAAAATGGTGTTCCTTTGTTTTTCCTGTTTTTATATCCTGGCTTAGGGGCGTTTTCGTGATTCATTTGAGTCTCAGGTTCTTTGAGTGATCAGGCTGATTGACAGCTCAGGTTCCTTGTACTCAGGTTGATTGAAAACTCAGGATTCTTGTGCTCTGCCACTCCCATCCCCTTTTGGGCAGGTTCATTGGGTCAAGTTACGCTGAGTTCTTCTCTTACAGGCAGCTGCAGGGTTTTGATTTTAACTGGCTTCTTTTGCTGGCCCTCGTTTAGAGGAAGTAAAAGTTTCAGGAGTCCCTTATCCTAAGTGCAGACGTACTGTTATTTTCTTGGTTGTTCCTTTCCATCCTCTCCCCCTGCCTAGTGCTCATTTCTATCTAACTGCCTAACAGCTTCTTCACCAGAGCAGAATCCTTTAATTTGAATTTTTTCAATTGTGAAATGAGGACAATGTTTATTACTGTTCTTTCTCTTTCTCCCCTCCGTTTCTGCCCCCGCCTCTTCTCAAATCATAAGTTCAAAGAAGTGCTGCATGTGCAATTCAAATTCATCTCTTAAGGTTATTTGGAGCCCACACCTAACACAAAGCAAAGCAAAGCAAGGCAAGACAACCTCCCTACTTCCTCTCATCAAAGCGACCCTTCACTGTTCTCCTGGATTACTCTCCCCTGTTTAAGTAAGTTAACAAACCTAACTTTGCTGGACTACTGGTTGCCCCTGTTGGTCTTTGGCTATTGAGTTTTATCATCAGTCAATCCCCCCTACTCTAAAAGCAACCACTGTTCTGATTTCATTCAGCAAAGGTTAGTTTGCCATTTCTTGAACTATGTCTAAATGGACTGACACAGTATGTACTTGTTTTTTTTTTAATTCATTTATTTATCTTTTGGGGGGAGGTAATTAGGTTTACGTATTTATTTTTAGAGGAGGTGCTGGGGATTGAACCCAGGACCATGGGTATGCTAAGTATGCACTCTGCCACTTGAGCTATACCCTCCTTGCCCCCGTGCCTGTTTGTTTCTGACTGCTTTCCTTCAACAGTGTTTCTGAGATTCATGTTTCATCTGTGTCACTGCATATATATCAATAGCCCATTCTTTCTCCTGCTGACTAGTTTTCCACTGTGTGACTCTATGACAGTTCATTTCTCCATTCTTCAATGCTGGATATTTTGTGTGTTTCTAGAGCTTGCTTATTATGAATAAAGCTGCTGTGCATTGTTGCATACGGATTTTTGCTGGGTCATAGGGTAGATGGAGGCTTTACTTTACAAGAAACTGCTAAACCATTCTCCAAATAGGTTGTACTTGTTCCCAACGAGTGTGTAGTCTAATGGTGGCTGTGGGCAAGAGGTGCGTGGAAAATACACAAATATATGTTATAATGAATAGAGATATGTACTTAGAAAAAAAGAAACAGAAAAAGGGAGAGAAAATTCCAACGCCTTGTTCCAAACAAGAAAGCAAGATTTTAGCAATAACTGAAAGGAGTGAGGTTTGGACTATATGATATGCAGTGGAAGACTGTTTCCCTCTGAGAGAACAGAAAGTATGCAGGGATGTGGGTGGACTGGTGGGACACATAGTTAAGGGTCTTATAGTGGTGCGCTGGTAAATGTTTAACCACCTGCTCTCCAAGAAAACCAAACAAATGGACAAAACTCCTCTCTGACTGACTGATCCTATGGTGTAAATACTTTCACCACAGAGGATGCCATACTACCAAAGTGAGGTCAACTGATTTGCAAAATGCCTGGAATTTTAACAGCTGGCTCTGGGACCACTGAAAGGGACTTTAGCTTGGACTCAGGGTGAGATGTGAAGTTATTAGAGAGTTTTGAGCAGAATGTGACACCTGAAGGAGTACAAGAGAATAGTGACAAAAGCCTCCCATATAAAAGAAGTGGACAATTAGGGTCTCAAAAACTGTTTTGGAACAATCTTGAACTTGAGAGTGAGCTGCTGTCACTCCTGAGTACTTTACTGTGGATTTCCTACAAATAAGGACGTTATCTTCCGTAACCAGCATGCAGCTCTCAAAACTGGGAAATGATTCTCCCATCTTTATACTCAGACCTTATTCAAGTGTTTCCAGTTGTCTAATATCTGTAACAGCACAGGAATCCAGCTCAGAGTAACGCATGGCATTATCATGTTTCCATTTCTCTTTCAGTCTGGAAGAGTTCCTTGGTTTCCCTTAATTTTAATGATACTAACACTTTCGAAGATTACAGCCCAGTTATTTTGTAAACTATCCCTCCATTTGGTTTTGTCTTATGTTTCCCAAAGATTAGATTCAGGTTATATATCTTTGGCAGGAATATCACAGAATTGATGCTCTGTTCTCTTTGCTTCCTATCAAGTGGCACATGATTTTGATTTGTTCCATTAAAGTTCACATTAACTTTGGGCACTTAAATAAGGTGGTGTCTGCCAGGCTTCTTGATCGTAAAGTCACTCATTTTCTCTTCATAATCCAAAAGTATTAATTGGAGAGGTCCTTTGAGGCTATGTAGATACCCTGTTCCTCATCATACTTTGATTTTATTCATTCATTCATTTACATCAGTATAGACCCATGGTTCTGTGGGTTACTTTTTTGCTCACATTACCACCAGATGTGGCCAGGGGGAGGCCCTTCAAGATGACTTCTTTGGAGGTTTTTTTTTTGACATGTCCCTATCATTCTTTGATTTATTCTTTACTTTGTTGCACAGAAAGATGTTCCAGGCTCATCTCATTCTTTTCCTGTCCCAGCCCTTCATGTAGTTATTTTTGCAAGAAACACTGCAAAAATATTTTTCTTTCATTTTTGTTCCTTTGTTTTTAAGTGGAAAATGACCTTTAGAAACCAAGATCTGGGCACTATATGTGCTCATTGCTGTTGGAGAGTCACTTCTCCCAGACCCGCTGGTAGACAGAACTAGGGTGTGTATGTGACATATGTATGATGTTCATGTATGTATTATGTATGAGTGTGTATGTGTATGTTTGTAAATCTGTCATAATACACATACATATATATCTATATTTATTACTCTGTTTATGTACATTGGAAACCATGACTTCACCCAGGAATTTCAAATTCTAGTCTACTCTCATAGGATCCATTCTGGTTTTCTCCCTTTTGTAACTGTTCTCCCACAGTGAGAATCTTGGCTTCCATCATCCTCGTGACATGTCTTTACTCGGTCAATTCCACTCTACGTGATTAACCTTCTGTTGGCATCCTTTGCCACTTCCCTTCCCTCCACTCACCTGCTTGGGCTATGTTACAGACTGAATGTTTTTGTCTCCTCAAAATTTATATGTAAAATGAATTGAATGAAACCCCATGTGATGGTATCAGGAGATAGGTTTCTGTGAGGTCATGAGGTAGGAGCCACCATGATGGAATTAGTGTCCTTATAAGAAGAGACACCAGAGTTTCCTCTCTCTGCCGTGTCAGAATATGTGAGAAGGCTGCTGTCTCCAAGCCAGACGGGCCCTCCCCAAGAACTCAGTCTTGATCTGGGACTTCCCAGCCTCCAGAACTATAAAAATAAATATCTACTGTTGAAGCCACCCATTCTGTGGTATTTTGTTATAGCAGCTGGAGCTGACTAAGGTAGGCTCTGAAACCATGCTGAGCTGCATCCCCTGCTGCTGCTCAGATTTCCACCTCACTGCTCTTAGGATCTGAAATCCTTGCTGGCGGCCCTCCTGGTGGATGTGCTCCTCACCCTGCTGGGTTTCTCAGATATATCCCAGGCTGCGGTGGCTCTCCCACTCTTGCAAAGATGCCTGCTTCTTAGGCCCAATGTAACTGGCTGAATTTTTCAGGGAGGGGATGGGGGTAAAGGGTGGTAAGCCAGAGGTGGGTGGGGCGGGGGTCTTAGGAATTCAGTGGCTTCCCTTGAGACATTTCCAAGTGCAACTATACAGTCCAGTTGGAAAATAACTGAAGTAGCAAACTGGAAAAATTGTGTATCTTTAAAGCAGTGGTTGGCAAACTCTGGCCCACGGGCCAAATCTAACCTGTGGTCTGTTTTGGTACAACCTGTGAACTAAGAATGGGTTTTACACTTTTAAACTGTGTTTTACTCTTTATTGCCTACACCAAGTGATCTGTGTTTGTAGTGTATTGGATTAGTCTTTTCATGCCTGGTATTCATACATCACTAGATTGTTTTCTTTATTTTTTTAAATTCTAAAATTGACAAAGTTTTTTTCTCCTGTACCTTTTGTTTCATGTAGTGCTGACTTCCTTCGATCAAATATCCATGCTTTAATTTACTGTCAGTAAAATAAAACATCATTGAAATGCTGGCTTCAGAAGCAAGAATATTTCACTCACTCATCTATTCATTATTCAAATAACATTTACTAAGTGCTGGGCCTGTGGTAGTCCCTGCACCCCTCCATGTGCTTCCATAGTCCCCTGTATTTGTCATGAATAATTACAACGTCGTTTTAAAGCTCCCTTGATCATTCCTGTTTACTTACTTGTTCCCCTACTTGGGGTAGAGGCAGCAGGGCGCAGAAAAAATATCTTGTTACTTAAATATCAAAAGCATGCTAGGGTCAAGGGATGCAAAGATGAAGAAGCCTCTGTCTTAGGTTGCCTTGTTGAATTCTCTGGCCAAAAATACTTTGAAGAACAAGCGCGTGATGTATGACCAACTGGCATTTGATTGTGCTGGTTCGCAGAAGCTGTGGTCGGGGAGACTGGTGGGAGGAAACGGTGGGAGCACAGGGAAATGAGGTTGTGCGGCAGAATGGCTCCAGGAGCAACCCGGGGACAGGGCCAGGCTGGAGTAGGTGGAGGAAGCATTGAGATGGAAGACAGTTGGTACTCAGATTCATTAGCTACGGAAAAAAGTGCACGCTGAAAAATGCACCGTTACCTTAAAAAAGCAGCAGCAATAATAAAAAATATTCCCAGAACTTGCGTGTTACAGTGACAGCGAAATGGACTCTGACCTCGTCTAAACCTAGTACAGCTTGGTTTCCTTTACGATCGATTCACTGCTACTTTTCTGGGACAGTGACAATTTAGGGCCCATCTTGAAGAGAAACAGAGGGATCCCTAGCCGTTTTTGTTTCTTTCGTCACGTGGCTTTAATCAATGATAAATGATTTTCTTGTGTGTTATTTTCAATTCCCAGAGATCCTAGGGAAGGAGGAATGCCCCTGGAAGTTTCTATAACACCGTTCTCGCTCCGGATGCAAACGCCCGCAGGCTGCACAGAGCTCTGGCTGCCAGCAGAGGTCAGGCTGGTGCCGTCGTCTTGCCGGGGGCTGCGGCACGTGGCTGGGGAGGGGCTGCACCTGCGACTGCAGGCTCGGGCCGAAGTCTGCAGGAGTGAGTAGCCCTGGCGTTCCTGGCTCTGCATTTGCTTTTCCATTACAAATCAAAGGGGCTTGTCCCTTTGAAAAGTTGAACTTTTCCCAGGTGAAAACAACTTCTCATAGCTGCATGGAAAGATCTGGGGGTCCAGAAGACCTAGGTTTTTTGCTAGCTCTGCCCGTTATTATCTGCGTGCAGTTGAACCTGTCATTTAATTTTTCTGAGGCTTTGTTTCTTTTGCTTTTTTTTTAAGTGCTCCCCCCCACAATAGACTTCATTTTTTAGAGCACTTTTAGGTTCACAGCAAAATTGAGCTGAAGGTACAGAGATTTCCCACATACTCCCAGCTTTGTTTAAAAAAAAATTATTGAAGTATAGTCTATTTACAATGTTGTGTTAATTTCTGGTGTACAGCATAGTGATTCATTTATACACACATATATACTTCTCTTCATGTTCTTTTTCATTATAGGCTGTTACAAGGTACTGAATATAGTTCACGGTACTATACAGTAGGACCTTGTTTATCTATTTTATATATCCTGGTTTGTTTCTTTAACTGTAAAATTGAAGATGAAATCAGATGGCAATTACATAAGTCCTGGTTGATTTTAAAGCATTATGTAGAAATTCACTCTTTCAACTTATTAGCTCATTGATCTAGGTGCTGGGGATACGGATGTGGACAAGCTGGGAAGGTCTCTGCCCTCATGGGGCTTACATTGTAATGGGTGGGAACAGATAATGAACAAGTTACTTGGATACAAAGCTAAGTGCTATGGGCAAAATAAAGCTGAATAATGGGACAGGGTGTGACTAGGAGGGGATGAGGGTCAGGGAAGGCCACTGAGAGGAGGTAATGTTTGGCCAGAGAACTGAATGAAGGAGATGATCTCATTCATGCAGAGACATTTCCAAATAGAGAGAAGGTATAAAGATTCTGAAATTGACTTTGATGCATATTTTGACTTTGTTGCTATGCCTGTTATTTCCAATATTTCATTATTTGCACGTTGATTCAGTAAGACAATAGAAATGTTTCCCAGAATAATTTATTGTGTAACATTATTGGTTCATTGCTTCTCTTACCATGAAAGTAATATGCATTGGATGATTAAAAATGATGTCAAAGGGGGGAATAGAGGCTGTAAAAATGGATGTGGTGCTTGTTATCAGAGAAGGTTTATAGTTCTTACAGGTGTACTTGAGATTTCGCTGTTGCCTCATCAGTACTAAGACTTTCACTTGAGCTGCATGGAGCCCAGAGGTGGGTTGGCAGGATTGTCTGAAGAGCCATGTAGGAGATGTCAGGTGTTCTCTTGAGCTCTATCCTGGCTTTGGAAAGAGAAGTATAGGGAGTTTTGCTCCTTTTTTGCTGGGGAGTGATTTTTGCTCAAGTCCTGGGTTAGTGAATAGCTAGTCTGAATTGGGCAGAGTTGGTTTTAGGAACAAGGGGTAGGAAAGAGAAATGTCTTGGAGCTTAAGTGGCATGGGACAAACCTAAGAATGGCTGTAGGAATAACCATGGAGAGAAGATGTCATCAAGATGGGAAAAAGACTAGCAGACTCCCTGTGTGTACCTAGCGATGGGCAGAGGAAGTGCTGTTTCAGGGAAGAAGCCATGGGAATCTGGCTCCTGTGATGTCATCACGTGTCTTTAGCAATGATGAACAGTAACAGTAACAGCAGGAATCTTGCGTCCTATCAGGAAACTGGGGAAAGGCAGGCATGAAAGCCACAGTGTTTTCAGATCTGCTGGTTTTCTGGAACTGTGATTTTAGGTCCCATAAGGAGTATGGAGGGAGACCTTCCAGAGACAACTGGCATGTTGCCTACCTATATTCTGTAACAGTTAATATATAAAAAGCAAAACTTGAACTATTTTTGCAAATTTAAATCAGCAAACATTATTGTTTAGTTTTAACTGTAGGACAGAATAAATCGACTGCTGTGTGTTGGTTTGCATATTCTTGGCATTCATTGGTATCCAGTTTCTTTACATCTTTAAGACACATTTTCTTTAACTGTCTGCAAAGGAAAACATTCAAAAGCCTGTTCTGCCGAGCATGAAGGGGTATGCAAAACAGATACCTCAGTACTTAATTGCTTTAGTGCTTTCCACACAATAAGTGGTGAATAAATATTTGTTGAGTGAATAAATATCAGATGGGTGCGTACTGATACAAACTTGAATCAAAATCTATTGTAGGAAGTGAGGTTTGAATTTTTAGCATTCAGTTGTATTCTGGGGCTTTGAAAAAGTTGGCTTTTCAACTATAAGAATGCTCTTTTAAGGACTAGAGTAGAACTATTGTTGCACTGTTTTGAATGCATAGGTCAGATCATGACCTTTGACCCAGAATGGGCTACAGTAAAAATCTGATGTAGCCCCAGCAGTAGATTCACCCCCAGGTGACAGTGCTTCCCAGGAAGCTGCTTACCTGGAGGTTCAGACTTGAACCTGGGCCTGTGCACTGTGCTGGGTGAGCAGAAGAGGGCAGTGTTTCAGTGAAAATTTGTTTATTGGTTATGAAAAGAAAATTTTAGATTGCGTGGGTCTCCTTATTATCTGCTCACAGTTAAAGATGACTGTCTGCTTCATCTTAGTGCTATAGAGCACTCCTAGAAATTAACCAGAAGGATTTTTAGCTGCCAAGGCTTAGACTTTTCTAGCATCAATTTCTTTTTAATCTTAAAAAAGTAAAATAAGCCAAAGTCAGATTGCTTGATTCTCATGAATATTACCTCATTTCATCAGATTTTTTTGACAAATATTTTTGTGGGTTTGGCTTTTTGTTTTTTTGTTTTTTTGAAAATGAAAGTTTCCTTTATTTATGAAAGAAATAATGGAAACTGAGTGAAGGAATATACTACCTTTACAGCTCTTTCTGTAGGAAATATTCTGAAGGAATATACTACCTTTACAGCTCTATAAATAAAGCTATATATTTTCCCATAGCTTTAATCAGAAATTGAGCTTTGCTCTTGGAATATCGAAGTCTTCCTAGGAGCCATTTCATTCCCAGGGACCTGCCCAATAGAGACTAATTTCAAGACAGAATTTGTTTGTACATGCCAAAGTGGACATAAACCTTGTTTAAATCTAATTAAACTTAAATTGAAGAACTCTGTTAACCAGCAGTCTCACTGATGAAAATCTGTACCTAAGCATAGCAGAGGATAGCTGCGGCTGGGGAAACTGTGGATTTAGCTTGGTATGAAAGGAATAGCTCCTTTTCCCCTTATCTTTAGTGTTAGTATTTCTAGAATGAGAGAAGTAACAGTCTGTTACGTGGATAATCTAGAGCAATACTTCATTCTGAGACAGTTAGCAAGATCTGCTGTTTTCGAAAACACTTCACAATATTTGCTTCTGGTTGAGTCATCAGATAATGCTAACTAAATGTGTACTTCTGGGTAGATCATAAGCAGTGTTTATTGGTAGTAATTTATTATGGCTATTAAACTCTTTAAATATGTTAATATATTTGTCCCAAACCTCTGAGGTTTGCTGTTCTCTTGATTTCCTCTAGAACTGTTCTCAGTGTTTAATCAAAGCTCACAAGCCCAAGAATGCTACACGTTTTACTGCCAGTCCTGCGGCGAAGTCATAATAAAGGACAGGTAAGGAATGTGTTTAACACCGATTTACTCTGTGCCTAGCAATAGTTTTCTCTTTTTCCATCAGAATTTTTGAAGGAATTGCTGAGGGAGGATGTCCTTGCTCAGATTCCCCAACGGTTGAGGCTGCTGCAGAGCATGCCCTCTGGGACAAGGTCTGAAACGTCCTGAGATCCTGGGTAGACTCCGTGGTTTAACCAAGAGAGTGTTCCTTCTCTCAGGCTTTAGTTTAATTCTCATGTGCAGTTTCTGAAACAGGCGTGCCTCTGCAGCAGTGAGCCCTTGTGACCTGGAAGTTACAGAGGAGCAAGTTCACTTGAGTGTCACAGTATTTCCTGGTGTGCTTGCTGGAAAGGATATGCATATTCATCATTGGCCGATACTTTTGTTTCATTGGAAAAGGATGGTGGATATGAAAGCCGTTACCGGTAGCCCCCATTCGTCCTGTTCAGGAACTGCATCTTCTGTTTTGTGTCAGTCTTGTTTGTGTCCATCGCATTCTTAGGCAGCATGCCCCTTGGCTCTTTGTTTGATGGGAAAACATGCTTTCTCTAGTATCTGCACAAAGACATCATGCTGACTGTTTCCTTTCAGCCCAGTGGTCTCATTTCTCCCTCGGTTAGATGTTCCATGAGGGTGGTTAGGACATCTGTGCTTAAAAAGAAGAAAGTAAAACCAAAGGTATTTCAAAGGAGGCTTGTATGTGCTGTAATCAAAATCAAGTCATTGACTTTCTCAGTTCTCCCGGCTTTCTCCCATATGTACACCTTATTAAACTTTTGTTTGATTTTCTCCTGATTTAAAAAAAAAAATTCAAGTCATTAGAGGCATCCTTTCCCGGAAGGCACCTTGGAATATAGTGGTTCATCTGTAGGGGGAGCTCTTGTGTAAGGAGCAATGGAGCAGAGTTCAGATCTGCTAAACCAGCTAGCCTTACTTCTTGGGAACAAGTCCCTTTAATTCTCTGGGCCTCAGTTTCCTCATCTGTAAAATGTGGAGGGTGAATTAGATAAACTTACGAGTCCTGCCAACATGAAAATTCTATGATTAGTGAACCTCAAAAAGTTGTGCCTTTGGTTCTGTGAATCATAATTATTTAGATAGTGCAAGACTAATGCTTGTTCCTTTTTTTTTTTCAATGAAAAAGATTCTTGTCAAGCAAATTATAGGTACTGAAGACTGTTTAACGTATTAAGACTCATTAATAGCTTTTAATACTTATTAGCACCAGGGTGCAGGAAATCTGCTAATTACAGCAGTCTTTTTTTCTTCATTTAGAATCACGTGTTCTTAGCCATTTGTTTTGGTTCCTTGAAAGCAAACAATGCCTTGTTTCCTTACAATAAAATTCTCCATTTTACATTTTTACCAGTTCAGCAGAGTTTTTTTGTAAAAATTGTCTGAACCTATACAATTTTTGACACATTTGCATTTTATTAGTTAAAATAAGTGCAGTAATACTTTATCTGATTGTCTCTGAAAAATGGGGCATTTAGTGTGTGTGCATTCTTCAGACAACTATATCCTGGTCTTTCAGTGGCAAAAACTTTGATTATTTTTACCTTTTTTTTAGGTGTCCTTTTTTGTTTTTAATTAATAGACTATTTTTTAGAGCAGTTTCAAGTTCACAGCCTAATTGAGCAGAAATTACAGAGTTCGCACATAGCCCTCCCCACCCACACATATATACTCCTCTCCCCTCAGCATCCCTCATCAGTGTGGCATATTTGGTACAATCGATGAACCAACATGGACACATTATTGTCAATCAAAGTCCATAGTTTACATTAGGGTTCACTCTTGATGTGAACCCATACAATTTTTGACTGTTCACTCGTTGAGAAGAACAATTCTTAATATCAAACAACAGCAATAATATTTACTTCTTTGTGAATAGTCTTAGAGACAGCTAAATGGTCGTTGTATTTGGAATTTGTTATGTCTTATAGGAAGAAATTGTGTCAGACTTGCATTATATTGATTGGCCAAACAGACTTTCAAACATAAGCCTGATTTTCAGTCATTTGAGAGTCTCCTGCGGTCTCTGGACAGGCCCTCCCTATTCCACCTGCACCTGCAGAGCTGGGTGTCAGCCCAGCAGCTCAGAGCGCATTCCAGCTCTGGAGGGTAACGAGCAGGACGGACTTAGGGAAACAGAAGAGGTGTCAGAATATCAAGCCGGTGGATTGGTCCACTTGACAGACCAGCTTTAATTGTGGTCTGAAAATAACTGCTCCTATGAATAGTCACTTTTCTATGAAAGAGAACAAAGAGGTGAAAAAAGAGTACAGGCACAAACTGAACTGGTAACATTGTACAAACTTTTGGGATAAAACAATTATACTTTTAAGGGTCTAATCATACTATGTACACAATGATAATAAATGCAAATCTAATTTCATGGGATTTGTAGGCCACCAGTTGGATGATGCCAGCTGAACTTGTCTAAATTCCAGCAGCTGTAGTTTAAGCTTTAGATATTTGATGTTTTTCTTAAAATTCTTATTGTCCACTTGCTTCTAATCCCATCTGTGAAAACGGTTATCACCACTGTTATTATCCCTGATTAATGGTTGACTTTAAAGTTATGAGGCACTTCATTTTCTTGTCTGTGTTTAAGTTTTAACTAAACACACCATTAGTCAGTAGCATTTATTAAAATTGTAAATTAAGTTATTTTCCCCAAAAGCTTATGCTTAAGAGGCATTAAAAATAACTAGCACATTTTAATTGATTATAAACATATGTTGCTGTCCATCATAGAATCTTAAGCTGAGAGAAATTTCAAGAAATCATTTCACTCTTTTTTAGAGCTTCAGGTTTGTTTTGTTTTGTTTTCTTTTTTCACCAGAAAACTACCTTGGAAAAGAAATGGTATCTATTTTATTTTGAAAGTTCTCTTGGGAAATAGATCATGTCAAAATTTCAGGGTTTTGGGTAGATACACACTTTCAGTAGAGCCATGATTAAAATACAGCTTTTGTTCGTAAAGTTTTTATGTTTTTTCCAAACATCGGACATTTTCTTTCTGCTGTAAAAACACTTTTATCTTTGCCATGACTTATGAATTAGGCACTTTCTTGCTCCCAATGTCTTACATAGGCAGCTGTGGGATACAGTGCAGGTTTTCTTCACTGTGCTATGGGGTCAAGTTAGGTTTGAAATACCACTTTTTGTGGGAATGTGCGTTGAGTCTCCCAGATGTCTGCCAGTCTTGGCGCGTTTTGTTTCTGTGATCACGCAGATTTTGATGTTGCGGTCTTTTGCAGTGGATTGAGGATCTGTTTATTGGCACTACGTGCACAATGTCATGGGACAGAGAATCTTTGTGATGGAGAAGATCTAGGAACCTGTTTAGCCCAACTTTTACTCTAAACAGGCACCTTTGTTTGCCTTCCTCCCCTTCCTTTGCAAAAATTGAAATCTGACCTATCGCTTCCCCCCCGTAAAGTTCTGTAATGCTCCTCACCTTCTGTAGAACTAAGTTGCCACCCTTGTAGGCTGGCATGTCACACCCCATAGAGTCTGCACCATCCCACCTTCCCTGTTCCCTCTACTGACATCCTGTGTTCCCGGGAGAGGGAGTTTATTGCAAGGGAAAGAGTGAGTTTGGGAGCCCAGAAGACCAAGGCTAAGGCCTCACCATCATTTATCACCTCTGGTCTGTGAACTTACACAGATGCCTTAACATTTCTGAGCCTCCCTTTCTGTCTCTGTAATAGGGGAATGGAAATTCTTATCTCACGAAGTTGTCGTGAGCATTGCACAGAATAAGGTGTGTGTGGTGCCCACCTGAGGTTAAGTTTCACTAAACACGTGGACTCACAGCACTACCACAGGCCGCGTTTCTTGCCCGCAGGGCGGCAGCAAGAGGTCCCTTTAGCAGAGGGCCTGCAGCAGTTCAAGCAAATGACAGTTCACATACCCCTCCAGGGACTCCTGTCTCCCCACGTGATACAGTTCCGGGTGCAAAGCCCAAGATTCGTATCAGGCAGGTGTAGGAGCTCCCCAGAGAAGAAGCCTCATGCCCTAAACAGCCAGTAGCTCTTGTGACAATCCTTTGGCATAGTTTCTAGGGTTCTTCACAAAGGGAAGCATTCAGGGAAGTCCAAAGCGTGGCACCTTCATCTGATATTTACAGCTCATTCAAACTTCCTCCTAGCCCAGATGCAGTATACCAGTCGGGGATCATTTTTTGCCATAATCAGTGTTGCCTGGCGATATAATTAATGCCTACCATCTATCTACCTGGTTTCCAGGGTAACAGGTCTAGATGGTTAAACCCAAGGTCAGGTTCTCAAGCAAGGGAAAACGTGTGTTAATCCTTTCATCCCAGTATGCAGAAGACCCAGCCAGGGGCCTCACATGTTACAGTCATCAAAACATGCTAGTTCGTTTCTTTAACAAATATTTCAGAACTTACACGATGAGCCAGGCACTGTGCCTGAAACCAGGACAACAGTGGCAAGTTAAACAGACACGGTGCCTGTCCTCATATATCCAAAACCTGTGAGCCCTTAATTCCTTTCATTGCCTGGAGAACTCCTCTTTATCCTTCACAGGTCAGCTCAGATGTTACTTTTTTCTGAAATCCGTGTTCACTCTACTGCCCCCCCAACTCTTTGTACATGTTGCCCTGAATTCATAGATTGGTTTTTTGAATCCCTGAATTACCTAGATTTTGTGTGCATGTAGGAATGTATGTTTGAAGAATGGGACTGAAACTTTCACCAGATTTTCAAAGGGATTTGAGCCATCCCCTTCTTCCCCCATAGCCCCCCAAGAACTTAGAACCACTGCTTGGTTTTGAACATTTATATCATGGTTTTATTACTTATTTATAGGTATGTATTTCCTATTAGATTGTGAATACCTTGTGAGAAGACTGTACTAATATTTTGTGTCAGCAGAATGCCTGACTCATAGCAGAAAGTACGTGTTGAGAGAATCACTTCTTAATCTCCTTAACAGACTCAGCAATTTGAATGATGCAAGTGGTGGAGGATTTCCTATTTGAAAGGGAATGTCCTTGCTTATATTAAACTGAAATCAGCCTTTCTTGTTCCCTACTTCTGTCCTCTGGAATTAAACGTTAAATGTCTACCCTCTTCTGTGTTATAATTGCCCATTTATAAGACTTTGTTGATTGGGGAAATCAAAGAAAAAGGGTTCACATGAGGGAATCATTAACAAATGATGCATTTGCATCTTAAATATTTTCATGTAAAACATGCAGATGTACATCAATGTACTAGCATTTTATTATGGAACTAATAACTTTCTGTTGAATATGAGCCTGCTGCTGTGGACTCTTTTACCTTTTTTCACTTAAACCATCCTGAATTCGATATCCGTAATTTCCACTTGGGGTTTCTTTAAAGTGGAATTAGAAGTTAGACACTGAAGCAGTTTGACTGCAGACTTGGTCTAGATTTTTACTCTACTCAGTTTTTTTTTTTTAATAGTTCTGCCTCCCACATTCCACCAGTGATTTTTTTTTTTTAATAACTAACTTTCCTCTAGTCTGAAATCTTCAGTTTTCGGAGGAACAGCAACTCATATTTCCCTAGTTTACATGCTGTTGAATTGAATTATGTAACTAAAGTAACATGGATAAGTGGCATAAACAGGTCTGTGATCAAATAGAATTGATCCTTAATAGGCAAATGGTCCAGCCGATTGGAGCCGAAGCGAGCAAGCGTTCAGGGTGCTTTAAGCTTTCACAGTGCTTGTGGTGTCAGGAAGACCAGGAGCATGTTTGTATTGTTTTTTTTTTTTCCCCCGGATAAATTATTTTGAAATCTCTTCATCATCCTGCCCACGTTTCTTCTCTTCTCCCTTAGACTACTCATCTTCCCTGTTTAGACTAAATAGGGGTAAACTGTGTTTGGCTTTCCTCTCGGTAAAGTCTCAGGTGTCTATTTTTGTCTAGAAAAAAATAAAAACCATTAAGACAAAAAATGGCAAATATAAGGGGCTAGTTAAGTATAAGGATGTTCTAAGTATAAAAAATAATGACAGTGGAGCTTAATTTCTCTCCCCTTGAGTGTGGCCTGGACTTAATGACTCACTTCCAAGGATTGGTGTATGCAGAGGCAGAAGTAGGAGCTTTATTAGTACAAGAACTTAACAGATAACCACCTTAGCCCAGAGATCAAGTTTAACACCCTCGGTGATGAGTCATACTGATAGAGTGTCCCCTCTGATGTGGTGTAATGAGAACACTTTACTCTGTGGCAGATTTCCCCCAAACCCATAACCCCAGTCGAACCTTGAGATGATACCAGGCAGACTCAGACCAAGGGATATTCTGTAAAATTCCTGACCAGTAGTCTTCAAAAATCTCGAGGTCTTGAAAGACAAGGAAAGGCTGTCGCAGAGCAGAGGAGACAAGGGAAACCTGACGAGTAAATGCAAAGTGTTATCGTGGGTTGGATCCTGGAACAGAGAAAGAGGATGTTAGTGGAAAAACTAGGGAAATCCAGATAAAGCCGGTAGTTTGGACAAATCTCCCATGATTACGTAAGATGCTAACACTGGGGGAAGCTGGGTGAAGTGTGTATGAGAACTGTTTTTGCTATCTTTGTAACTTTTCTGTAAACCTAAAATTACTCCAGCATAAAAAGTTGATTAAAAAATAGCAGTAGGAGAGATCACAGAAGAAAGGGTTGAATGATTTGAAATTTAAGACACATAAACCAGATTAAAGGCAGTAACACTGAAAAGTATTTGTCACAGATTTTAAATGAAGGACTGATATTCTTAATATACAATATACTTTCCCAAATGAAGAAGAACACACTAACACCTATTGGAAAAATAGCCATTGATGACAATCCACAGAAGAAACACAGTGGTGAGTAAATATGAAAGCGAGTTCAGTCTCACCAGCCATTAAAGAACTGCCAATGTCAGAACATTTTCACCTGTTACATGGGAAAAAGGTAGTATTCAGTTCTGAAGAAGGTAAGTGGAAGAATTATAGATCTGGAAAGCAATTTATCAATACGGGAATTGGGTTTAAAAATAAGCATATCATTTGTGCTTGTAATCTCACATTTGTAAGATTTCTTTCCCAAGAAAATAATCAGATGCACACACAAATACTCTAACCAGACTGTTCATCAAAGAGGTGTTGATGATGAAAAACTCGAAACCTAAATATCTTAGCAGTGAGGGAAGGATGTAAAAAGTTTGGGTGTACCGATGGAATAGAATGGAGTCCTTAAGAATCATGATATAATTAAATAAAACAATGAAAACAAGATACAGTTTGTGTATATCCTCTGATCCCGGACTCCGTGCATGTGTACAACTGTCTCTCACAAAAAAGATGGCAAGGAAATATACTATCCTGTGCAAAGTAGTTACCTGTGCTCAGGTGGTAAGGAAAGAATGCTTTTTATTTGCTTTATACCTCCCTGCCTTTTCAAAACTATCTATAACGAGTATATATTGGTACTGTAATCAGGGGGAAAAGTAACACTGCAAGCAATGCAATGAATGAGTTTCTTTCATCCTTTATGCTGATTTAATTAAGAGAATGTCACAGTTCCGTTTTGTTCTGTAAAACACTGTTTTTCCTCTTTCCACTAGGAAGCTCCAGAGGGTGCTCCCACTGCCAGCTGAGAACTGGGCTGCGCTGGTTGACGAGTGGTGCTGTCATCCCAACCCCTTTGCTAATAAGCCCCTTCATCCACGGGACAATGACTGTTTCACTGGAGACTCTTTCTTCTTGGTGAATTTAAGAAGTGATTTGCAACAGCCAAGACCTGAAGTGGCCCCAGCAGAGACCTGCTGTTTTTCTTCTGAGAACCATTTAAAATTGGTTGAGTATTTTTTCATAATAAGTGCTCATTTAGGGTTTAGCTTAGAAACTGGTTTCTCTAATCTTTTTGATTTTTGGGGGTGGTGGTGGAGGGGGATTAGGTTTATGTGTTTATTTATATGTTTAATTGATGTACTGGGGATTGAACCTAGGAGCTCGTGCATGCTCTACCACTTGAGCTATACCCCCCCGCGACCTTTTCTTAATTCAGGGCATGTTACACACATTGTTCTGAAGACCAAAATCCATCTATTGCCCTGCTCTGCTCTTTTGATATAAGAAGAGCTTATGGCTTTAAACCAAAGCAGCCTTCCAGCCTTGGGGGCTGGAAGAAGGGAAAGAAGACTTCTTCCTGCATAGATCTGGGGATGTTACCGTTTTTTACAAACCAAAAGGCCCTGCTTCCTTGTTTCTAGGACAGTAATCCATAATCCATGTACATTTTTGTCCTCTTAGTCTATTTACATTAAAAGTGCTCTTTTGCTGCAGGCTATCTGTTACACTGTTAGGCTTAGGCGTTTCCCTCTCTCTGCCCATAGTCTCAACTTCTGCTGATGTCACACAAGCAGATGCCACCAAGGCAAAAGAGGAAATGAAGGAGCTCAGGCGTGGAAATAAAGCTTGTGCCGCAGGCTGGAAGTCGGCGCTTGACAAGTGAGGTCAGGTGGCTCCTGCTATAAAAGTTGCTTGAGGGAGAAGGCAATTTCCTCTCACTGCAGAGAACAAGTGGTTTACCTTATTTTAAAAGAAAATCAATGGCATTGACTTGGCCTTAGTGAAAAATCATTCCCTGGATGGCAAGTCAATACCGATGTGATTTAAAAAGTAAAGAAAATCATTGCTAGAGAATCTTCATTTTAACATCTGATTATTGGTAGGAACAAAACTGTTGTGTGTTAAATTCCATTTAGAACTCGTTTAATTTCTGTAATGAGAACCGAGCCACTCTAGGAAATATGCAGTAGTCAGGCAGCCCTTAGGTTGTAAGCTAGTTTATAGAACTGTTTTCTGTTCTGAGGGAGATTAAGGAAGTTGGTCAAATATCGAGGCTGGGGTATGATCAGTTTAAATTATGTAAGTGCCTCATCTTTCACCAGGAACACACATCCCTTCACCTAAATATGGTTCATTTGAAATGATAGTACTTCAGCCTTACGTATTTTTAAAAGATAACTGGTGAGCAGTTAATATAAACCTATGTTATAATTACATTTAATATGATTATATTAAAATTATATTTTAATCTAAATTTATATACTAATACTCTTTTATGTGTTTTGACTTTCCTTTTTATGATTAAAATGAAAGTTTTTAAAATATATGGAAGATGTGAGTGAAAGAGGAGTGAGAGAGATTAAATGAGAAAAAACATGTTTCCCTTTGCAGATGAGCTCTGCACTCTGTATAGAAATAGATTCTTCACACTTAATGTCTTTTATCAGTTATACAGTGCCATTTATAAGAATTTCTCTTAATTATGAACAACCATCCCGTGTGTTAAAGGAAGACCCTTCATATTCAGACATGGCTTTTGAGTATCCAGGAGACTGGGAAATTACTACTGTGGCAAAAAAAAATACTACTGTTTACAAGATTGGGTTTTTTTTGAGGGGTGGGGAAATTAATTTTATTTATTTATTTATTTAATGGAGGTACTGGGGGTTTAACCCAGGACCTTGTGCATGCTAGACATTCACTCTACCACTGAGCTATACCCTCCCCCAAGATTGTTTTCAGCTTAGCCTGGATGGAAGTTTCACTTTAATTGTGTATTGCTGCAGTTGAAAGAATATGCCTGTGGCCAAAATAGTAACATAAATTTGGAGGGACTGCTGAAACAGTGCTCTCAAGGCTCCTGTGGGACCCAGGCTGCTCTGTGCTATTGAAAACCTATTTTTCATATCACCCCATCTAGCCATCTAGCAGGACTTTGAAATGTCACATGGTGACACAGCATCCTAATGGTGCCTCTTGGGAAGCATTTTTTTGGCGAGACGATATCAAGGGTCCTTAGAAATTGAAACAACACAAAGGAAAATAAAAACGAGGACAGGAGGCTAATGCCCCTCTCGGAGCAGCAGTGCCATCTCTCAGATATATTGATTTAATTAGTCCGCAACAATGTCTGTCTTTGATGTCTGCTCCGCAGAGTTCCCACCCCGTTAGGTTGTTCCATTGGCACAACTTGCTTTGTTGTTTCCTTTAAGCATGGGTCAAGAAAAACACACTACAAAGCAGAGTTTCTCTTTAAGAAAATTAAAAGTGTTATAGTATTTTAATTTAAGAGATCAGATTTTAAGAACAGCATAAGTGTTGGACTTTTTGTTTGTTTCTTCCCTTCAGTACCCCCTCAGAGTGTAGGGTGTGTTATTTGTGCCTCTGCTAATGTGGTGATAAATACTTTCTGGGGGGGAGGTGCGAGGAGTAATTAGATTTATTTATTTATTTACTTATTTTTATTCATTTGTTTTTTAATGGAAGTACTGGGGATTGAACCCAGCACCTTGTGCACGTTAAGCACATATTCTACCGTTGAGCTCTACCCTTCCTCCCAATACCTTTTGTTTTTGAAAGACATTCGCTGGATGTTTCTCTGTTCCTACAGTTGTCTCTTGTGATATTTTTTGTGTCTACCAACATAATAAAAATTTTGCATCTTTATAATAGGTCAGTAAAGATGGCACCTCGATCTTTTATAAAATTCATAATATTATTCTAGATGTAGAAAGCATAGCCATACTTATGACTTCACCCTATATTTTGAGGAACAAATGAAATTGAACATTGGTTATGTTATAGCTGGTGAGTATGACTAACAATTTTACCTTCTTTTTTTCCTTCCCTGAGGTTCTTAGCAATAATTCTTCGACATTGGTTATTTGTTTGCTTCATTAAATCCCTGAGGGTCTCTTTTTTATTTTCTCAAAGTAGTGTATTGAACTTTGTAAACATTCACAAATGTAAAAAGAATAGAATTATGAACTTTTAGTATACCAGTCACCTTGATTCATAAAGTATGCTTCATCTATCCCTTTTATTTTTAGTTTCTTTTTGCTGAAACCCTTTAAAGCAAATCCCAGACATTATGTCATTTCATTCCTTCATGGTTTTTTCTTTTTTACATAACCACAGTGTCATTTTCACACCAGACAAACTCAACAGTTATTACTTGTGGTACAAGACCAGGTCATACACAAATTTTATCAATTTTATTATGAGTATCGTCTGCTGTCAGTTTGTTTGAATCAAAATTCACACATTTGGTTGTTGAGTTAATTAAGTTTTTTTTTATTGATGAGATTTTTAAAATCTTGATTACCTGTCTCTTAAAAACATAAAATTTTATTTTAAAAACCAACCAACAAAAACCACTTTTTCTGCTTCATTGAAAGACAAAGCAAAATGTGCTGTAAGAGCAATTATAAATGAAATACATAACAGAACACCTGACGAAAAATGTTCTACTTCGAATAGAAAAATCCCTTCTTCTGAAGCATTGCTTGTCCAATCTTGTGTTAGTTTTTAGTAAAGCCCTTAGTTTTTGGTAGGATTTAGTGAGAATGGTCTGATTTAACTTGTATGAAATAGGATTCTTTAAAAAGTGTCCTTAATACAACTTTGGAGCCATACAGGTAGATTTTATTGTAAAAACGCGTGAGACTAGGAGGAGGGTAGAGCTCAGTGCTAGAGTGTGTGCTTAGCATACGTGAGGTCCGGGGTTCAATCCCCAGTACCTCCATTAAAAATAAACAAACCTAAGCCCGCCCCCAAAACAAAACAAAATAAAACGAAAAAAAGAACATATGAAATTGCCAAAATGCCAAACTTTATAGTTGAACAAACCTGGTTTCTAAGCTGTCTTCTTCCTATAACCTTTCCTGGACCTGAACAAATAGGCACTTGCTTTAGTTTCTATGTCTGTGGCTTTTGACTTTTTTTAACCTCTAACTAAAGTAAGAAATAAATTTTTTTACATTAAGATCTGGTAATACACGCATACACAGAGATACAGACACACCTTGAATAGAAGTTCCTTAAAGCACCATTTACCCTATGTTTGAAGCACTGATATTTTCTGTTCTGTTGTATTTCATATTTTGTAAAAAATGCAGACTGTAACCCATAAAATTGATCCTGTGAATTGCTTTGCAAAACACTTGGTGTAGTGCTGAGGAAGCATACTCTTTAGCATCTAAGGGACCTGGATTCAGATATCAGCTGTCAATTACTAGCAGCACATCCAGGCAAAAAATTGATCCCTTTGTGTGAAGTAATGGGTTTTCTGCCCATTTCTTGAATGATGTGTGCCAAAACTGTATTTTATGTATGTAACATCCACCTAGCTGTTACCTATGAGCCAGGACAGTGCTTTACAACACTCCTTTTTAGATCCTAATAAACAATTCTGTGAGCCTAACACTACTATTAACTCCATCTTACAGATGAGGAAACCAAAACAGGTTAATTAATGTGCCCACAGTCATGCATCTAGTAAATAACAGAGCTGGGATTTGAACTTGGGAAGTCTGGCCCCAGACTCTGGGCTCTTAACCACTATGCTGTTGCTTATAATATAACCTCTTATAACAAGCTACAAGTCAGTAAGATTTTTTTGTTGTTGTTGAGGCATAGTTAACATTATATTACCTTCAGGTGTACAACATAGTGATTCAGTATTTGTATGTACTTTAGAATGATCATAACAATAAGTCTAGTTAACATCCATCACCATACATAGTTACAAGAATTTTTTTTTCTTGTGATGAAAACTTTTAAGGTTTACTCTCAGCAGCTTTCTAATATGCAGTATAGTATTATTAACTGTAGTGGCCATACTGTATGTTACACCCTATGACTTAGTTATTTTATAACTGGACGATTGTACCTTTTACCCATCCCGACCAACCCCACCTCTGATAGCCACCAGTATGTTCTCTGTATCTAAAAGAACAGTCTTTTGTTTGCTTAATAATTAGGTGAATGCTAGCTATTTTAATCTGTGTCCCCAGTGATAAAGTTGGATTTTTCAGAGTTTAAGAATGTTTCGGGAATTTGTCCCAGCATACTTTCTCTCTCTTTCCAGGTATAATGCTTGTCTTAAATGGGAAAAATAGAACTATATGAATGGATTGGATATTTTTCACTTCTGATGGTGGTTACGAATATAGATTACTTATACATAAGTTACACTGGACTAATAAAGTAATATGAGTTCAAGTTCTGATTCTTCTGTTTTCTAGACACATGAGTTTGGGCAAGTCACCTACCCTCTCTACTTTTGTTGCCCACCATATACCTATTCTAAATACTAAGGATGTTTGGAGGTGCTTTTTAGAAATGTAAGGTGCTTCTTGTTCAGACTGCTTGGCAACATGTAGGTTATCACGTAGGGACTAGGTTTGAAAAAATCATTCTATTCATTATTCTGCCTCTAGACTCGAGGAAAGTGATCTCTGTGCATGTGAATTATGCATACAAGCTAAATGTATTCCCAGTATTTAGCAGAAGGCAAAATAAAATGTAAAGTTCAATGTATACTCTAGAGACTATGTTAAAATTATATATTCCTTTTAAGAAAAGCTAAATGACATTTAAATGACATTTTTCTCTTCTACAGACACCAAAGGCAAATACCAAAGTAATTTGTAAGCGTTGCAAGGTAATGTTGGGAGAGACCATGTCATCAGGTAAGAATTTCATAATAAAAAAGCCAAAATGATTGCCTTCTTGTTAAAAAAAAAAAAAGTTGAAGGAGATTTTGTAGGCACTATGTATGAAAGATAGATGACTAATATATGTTGTAGAATTGATGCTTTTAAAAACAGAAATCAACTATATGTCATCCAATAAGCCAAAAAGTTTGTATATTTTGACTGTTATAAGTACTTAGTATTGAGTTTTAATCCTTAAGAAGTTGGGTCATTTTCAGTATTTCTTATCTTCTTTGTAGATATAAAGCAATAGTATAAAGTTTGTACTTGGGTCTATTTCAAAGAAGATTGGAGCTTTTTTCTTAATACAGCTCCTCAGCCAGAAAAACTGGTTTCCAGAGATGATGAAGATGCTTTTTGGGGAAGCCGTCTGCCTCAGGGCTGCGTTTTGAGACTTGGCGGGTGGAGGAGCCCAGAGAACCTGTTGAAATGGAAGAAAGCACATTCTGAGTTTTATATTCTGTTCCTTGTTCTTTTTCCCAGTAGTGTTAATTATATTTTACGTAAGGTCTATGTTACACAACTTTACAATATAATAATGAAAATCCTGTTAATTAAAATGCATCACTCTTTAAAAATATGGTTTAAAAATGTCTAGAGAGCTACAGCATGCTGTGTTAGCTTTGTGGGTGATGAATAATTGTTGTAATATAATTAATTAGAAGATGTGATTTAAGTGAAACTGTTGTACTCAAGGGAAGGCAGATGGTAGTATTTTTTGTTTGTTTTTTAAGATCATTAGAATCTTGTAGATGGTCCCTTGCTCAGAGTAAACAGAAAGGGAAGAATGAGTAGTAGTAAAGGATGCCACCCCCAATGTCATTTTTGGAGAATGAAAGCAAGTCCCTTAAGCAAAGAGGTAGAAAATTTTATGGCTTCCTGTTAAATAAGGTGAATTGATTTTTTTTTTTCATTCTTCTCTCTCCTCCCTGAAGCCCAGTTAAAATGTCAGTTAAGGAATGAAAACAACAACAAAAAAAAGTGCATCCACAGAGACAAAGAGACAAAGAGAAACAGAGAGGAGGCAACAGGGATGCAAACAGAGAGGTGTTAGCAAACATTTTTTTGGAAGCTGTAAATTTGAGAGAGGTGTGGAAACACACTTGGCAGTGTGGAGGAAGCTGCAGCCTTGGTGTCTGCAGAAGATCATGTGGATAAGGAGTGAGCCAGTACTCACTGCAGAACCCCAGAACTGGGCAGAATTTAGAGGTAGCAGGTAACAGGGACCAGGGACTGAAAGCAGGATGATTAATGCAAAGTTTGTATATGGAGCAATAAGAGAGAAGGTTTGCAGACAGTGCTTCCTAGGGGTCATTCAACAAAACAAATGATCTTAAATTCAGCCATTCTGCTGTCAGCAAGCCTTATATCTACACCCAAGAGCTTCCTCTCAGCATTTTATTACTTCACACTTAAATACAAATAGACTGCCAAGAATCAGCAAATAATAAGAGTCCAAAGCAAATAAATAATTGACCGAGTAAACAATAAGGGCTGAGAAGAAGCAAATTATGTATAAGACAGAAGAAAATCTTCTTAAAAACAATAATAAATGTTCTTGGAGAAATGAAATAATGTTGCCTCTATAATTCAGTGAATGTAGAATTAAAGATGTAATAGCTTAAAAAAAAAGCTAACCAAAAGACTGGAAAATAAAATTAAGAACCTATCTCAGAAATCAGGACCAAAAAACAGAGGTTGAAAATTAGAAAGAAAATTTTAAAAAAATCAAGTTTCCTGAGGGTAGGATTATTGCCTGTTTCATTTATCATAGTAATCTCTGGCACATACTGGGTATGTAGTATATATTTGTTGAATGAATGAATGAATTGAACCTTTTAGGACATTCTACAAGTAGCTAATAGAAAGTCTAGAAAGAGAGAATAGAGACAAAATGGTGTAGGAAATGATCAAAGAACAAAAATACTAGGAACACTTCACAAGGGTATTTCCCAGAGTGAGGGCTTGAATTTTTTGACTGAAAGGGCCCACTAAGTGTCTAGTGTATGGAGGGGTGGAAGGAAAGATACTTAAAGCCACATTATTGAGTAATTTCCAGACAGGAAGGATGAAGTTTCTAGAGAGAAAAAAGCAGAAAATGTACAAAGAATTAGGAATTAGAATGGCACTAAACTACTTATCAGCAGTGTTGAAAGCTAGAAGACAATGAAGCAGTGCCTTCATAATGTAGAAGAAAGAAGATTTTCAACCCAGAATTCTGTACACAGTCAAACCATCAGTCAAGTGTGAAGATTACAGATACATTTTTGGAAATACAAGGTCTCAAAACATAGACCTCGGTTATATTTTCCTTAGGAATCTACCATAGGATATGTATCATCAAAACTAGGGATTTAACCTCAGAGGAGAAAACATGAAATGTGGGGAACATTATCTAACACAAGAGAACAAGATAAGGAGGGCCCAGGGTTGTACAGCAGACCTAGAGAATGATAGCCTGGGTTGAAGCAAGGAAGAGAAAATTGTATTGATGACTTCTTCAGTTGTCACTGAAACTGATAAATTCTTTGAATTGTTTGACCACATGTAACAAGTAATCTTGAGACGCCATTTCATCATATGGGCAAAATTAGCTGAAGGTGTTGGACAGCTAAACACATGAAAAAGAAAGCAGTTATGCACTGCAGGAAAACAGAAACACTTCTGTGGTATCATTATGGTCACAATAACGTGAACACTGAATATTGGTTTAACCAAAAATCTTTATGATGTGATACATAAGTATATGAGGAGGTCACTATGTGTGAGTGCATGTGGGGGCTGTTGTAAGAGAGCTGTACTCATACCTACTTGAAAAGTAAGTTAGTAGGATGCCAATTCCAAAAATGGTGGCATAAAGGGGATGAACAGTTTTACTCTGCAGAAAACAAGTGCAAAACTATACCAGTTCAAAAGAACAGCTATTAGAAAATGACCAAAATGAAACAAGGATTTGAGAGGTGATAATTTATGAAAAACTGCTATTGCCTTGGATTAGAAAGGTAAATTTATGACCTTTTTGCTTGCAGGTATTGCCATACTCCACCCCAACTTGGTCAAGAAAAACCCACGGCTTTATTATCTATAGGAGATTTGGTTTAGGGTAAGCAAAGGAGAAAGTAGAAATTTAAGAGGAATATTTTGGAAGAAAGAGGGCTGTGGAAGGGCTGAGCTGGTAACTTCTTAACACAGCTCTGGCTGATGGCTAAACTCTATATGCATCAATACATGCCAGGGAGACCACTAAGAATTGAAAGCTTAGGGAGACCTGAACATTTGTTGTGCCTTTGGTTGCATTCGTCAGTGCACACACAACTTGGGCAGTAGAAGGTGGAAACCTTAATAGGTTGAGGTATTTAAGCAGAACCTCTCCTCAGATTTTCTGGCAGCCAGACTATGCAGATAACCATGAATACTCTAGGGAGTCAGGCTAAACAAAATAAAACTGAGCAGAGACATTACTGACTACACACTGCAGGAAGATGTATTTCTTGGTTTAAGTCCAAGCTTGTTAATTGACCTGTAAACCAGCAACCCTTAAAAGGACAAAACAAAATCCAGAATTGCTGCAAAGTATTACATACAGTGGCCTCTTTCCTTCCAGAAATGATTAGCCATGCAAAGAAGCAGAAAGGAGTGAGGAGTTTATTGAGCAGGACTCAATAAACAGATACTGAGTAAGCACAAGTATTAAAGTAACAAAGATCTTGAAGTAGCTAATTATAAATAGGGCAGATAATTAAGAGAAAAAAAAACCTTTTGAGTGAACTAATAGAAAATCCCAACAAGTTGGAAACTTCAAAGAAAGAATCAATTGGTAATTACAGAGCTAAAAAGTACAGTAATAAAGAAACTTCACTAGATTAACTAAACCTCATATTTGAGGTGATAGAAGGAAGAAAATTGTTGAAATTGAAGATAGATGAATAGAAATTAACCAATCCAAAGGACAGAGAGAAAAAAAGCCTCTCAAAATGGACAGAATGTCAGAGATTTGTGGAACAATATTGTTTCAATAAATGTGTAAGTGGAGCCTCAGAAGATGAGAAAAAGAAGGGGGTCAGGGGAAAAATTTTTTTAAGTGGCTGAAATATTGGCAAATTTGGTGAAACATTTTAGCTTTGAGTCCAAGAATTGCAGTGAATCTCAAGTAGGGTAAACACAATGAGCATTTCCCCAAGGCATGCTGTAGTCAAACTGATAAAAGCCAAAGATGAAGAGAGAATCTTGAAAGTAACAAGAGAAAACAAAACATCGCATATAGGGATTTCATTAGGAATTGAGGCCAACTTCTTATAGGAGTAATGACAGCCAAAAGACACTGAAATGAGATATTCAAAATGACAGAGGAAAAAAGAAAAACACCTGTCAACTCACAAGTCTATATCCAGCAAAATTCTCCTTCATAAATGAAGTGAAAATTAGGACATTTTCATGTAAGTAGATGGAAATAAGGCATGACTGACAGACCTTCTCTGCAAACAATGCTAAAGAAAGTTCTTCAGGATAAAGTGAAAGATACCAGATGGTAATTGGAATCCACAGGAAGGAATAAAGAGCAAGATAAATGGAAAGTATGTGGGTTAATTACCACAAAAGCAAACTCAAAAGAGGTTAGCATAAAATTGAAACCACCTTTTCCCTGCAATTTGCCAGTTCTATAAAATTAGAACTTTTGATTATGTTGGGAAGTAAGAACAGAAATCAAAGACTGTAAAAGTGGGAACCTAGTAGATGACTGTCTGCACAAAAATACGAGACTGAGAAGGACCACGTCGTCACTGTGAAGGTGATCAGAAGTGGGATGACCCTGTGGAATTACAGACAGGTATCAGTCTTTTGGGACTTCAGGACTTGAACTTGGTTAGTCTGCCCTGGACTAGGCATAACACCATAGGCCTCAAAAAATCAAATGTAAATCACCTCTGGAGGAAAATACTTTCATTATAAAACTCATATTATTCCCACAAATAATTTGTCAAGTACAGTGTCTAACTCTGCAACCAAAGATAAATAAGCACACAGGTAAACTAGACTTTCATCAATAAGAACTAACAGAAACAGACTTCTGTTATTGGAATTACTAGATGTAAACTAAAGCAACCATACTTAATATATTTAGCAATATAAAAGACAGGTTTGAACATATCAAAAGGAAAATGAAGCTATAACAGTACACATATTTGGGAAATATCCACAACAGAACTTCTAAAATATATAATTGAAATTTAAAACTCAGTGGGTAGTTTAACATCAGATTAGGTACAATGTGGAGAAAGAATTAATGAACAGAAGATAGATGAGAAGAAAAATCTGTAATCCAGCACAGAGAGACAAGAAGGCAAAAAACATAGAAGAGAGAGTAAGAGACATAAAACACACTAAGAAGATCTAATGTTTAGTCAGAATTCTAGAAGGGAAAAAGAAGTAGAATAGAGCACAAGCAATATTTGAAGAGATAATGGCTGAGAATTTTACAAAAGTGATGAAGAACAATTTGTAGATTGAAGTCCAGTGAATTCTGATTAAATGAAGCCCAAGTAAGAGAAATAAAAAGAAGTCTATAGGTAGATGTATCAGAGTGATACTGCAGAAAAATAATAAACAGATTATCTTGAAAGAAGTGGTATATTTATACAATGGAATACTACTCAGCCATAAAAATGACAACATAATGTCATTTGCAGCAACATGGATGTCCCTGGAGAATGTCATTCTAAGTGAAGTAAGCCAGAAAGAGAAAGAAAAATATCATATGAGATTGTTCATATGTGGAATCTTAAAAAAAAACAAACAAAAAACTACAAAACAGAAACAGACTCATAGATAAAGAATACAAACTTGTGGTTCCCAAGAGGGAGGTGGGTGGGAAGGGACAGACTGGGAGTTAGAAATTTGTAGCTACTGACAGGCATATGTAGAATAGATTAAACAAGATTATACTGTATAGCACAGGGAAATATATACAAGATCTTACAGTAGCTCACAGTGAAAAAGAATGTGACAATGAATGAATGTATGTTCATGTATGGCTGAAAATTTGTGCTCTACCCTGGAAATTGACACAACATTGTAAACTGACTACAACTCAATTAAAAGAAAAAAAAAGTGCTTGGTTAAAAAAGATAAAAAGATTATCTTAAAAGCACCCAAAGGTAAATAACAGATCACCTTCAAAGGAACAGCAATAATGGAGGTTGGAGACAGTGGAATGAGTGTCATTGTGCACAAAGGTTAAAAACTGTTAGCCTAGGATTTTATATCAGATGAAATTGTCCTGATATGAAAGAATCAAGACAAAGATAAATATATTCTCTGTCAAACAAAAACTAGGATAATTCGGTTCTCGAGGTTTGGTTTCTTACAAAAAGAAATTCTACCTGTATATCAAGTGAAAGAAGACAGTCCCAGATAGAAGGTCTAAGTTCATGAAGGGTTAGTAAAGAAAGTGGTAAACATGTGGGTGACACTAAATGAATATTAACTGTGTAAATCAATAATACCTTTTGGAATTAGAATTATAGAATTATAGTTTAACAACAGCTTGGAGGAAAGTATCACTTTGTAATGTTAAAAAGTTCAATTCTGCATCTAATAACATGACTTTAAAATAGTAAAATGAAAATTGAACCTCGAGGAGAAGTAAATTTATCATCTTGGCTCTAGATGTATTATAGTCTGTTAAACTACTGATTTTATTTTTTTGCCTTTTTCTTTATGTTATGTTGAGCACACCGTTTTTAATGGCTGCATGAAATTCTCTTGCCTAAATGTATAATAGTTTAACCCAAGCATCCTCAATTTTTAGACATTTAATTTGTTTTCAGTATTTTTCTGTTAATATTATTATGAACACCTTAATAAATAAATGTTTGCAGATATCTATGAGTATTTCTTTGAAATAAATTCTTAGGTGTTTAATTATGGTGTCAAAATACATACACATTTTTAAGACCTTCACCAAATGACTTTACAGAAATCTTATTTGCAATTCTGACAGCAAACCGTAAATAAGTGTGTTCATTTCTCCATATCTTTGTTGCTGCTGTACCTTATTATTTAAAAACATTTTATTTATTTGATGTTAAAAATTTCATTTTAATTTTCATTTCCTTCGTTACTAGTGAGAGTGAACATTTTTTATGGGTATTTTAAAAATCCAAAATGATTTACTTATGTCTATTAAATATTTAGTTTACTGTTTAAATGTTTCTGTAAATGAAGTAGTCAGATAACCAAATTTGGTAAGAATTAAACATTAATGCGGGCACAGTACAGCTCATTGGTAGAGTACTTGCTTGTCATTCACAAGGTCCTAGGTTCAATCCCCAGTAACTCCGTTAACAAACAAACAAACAAACAAACAAACCTAATTACCCCCCAAAGTTTAAAAAAAAACATTAATAGACTCAGTGAGATTCTGGCTAAATGTTAATGTGATATTCACAGCTTCTGTTCATGGGCTTTGGAATACTGTGATTAAAAAACCTTTCTCAGTGACTCCTAGATTTGTCGCCTACTGTCTAGAAATGAGGAAACCAAATGACTAATTTTGAGATTCACGGGCTCTGGCTGTCATGTGACTAGTTTTTACAACCATGTATTTGTGTGAGCAATCTTGCTGCACCAGATGCACCTCGGTATGCTCTTCTGAAACCACACCGAGCTATCTGAAGTCTCAGGACTGTCTCCTTGTAGTCATCAGTGCTTTGTCTTCTGAAAACAGAGACATTTTTGGAAGAGTTTTACTGAATGTTAATTGTACCAATATATCACTTATTTAATTTGGAATGTCTTAATTTGAAACCACCATGCCCACAATAGAAATATGAATGTATTGGGGAAATTTTTAATATTCTTATTTTTTGTTTCCAGAAACCACTAAGTTTTATATGACAGAGATAATTATTCAGCCATCTGAAAGACATTTTCCCATCATACCAAGGTACAAAGAGCAAATTAAACTTATTCTGTAATTTCATATGTAAGGAAAGATAGGTGCAATTGATTATTTGGAAATTCATTTTTATTTATACTCCTCTTTGTTTGGAAAGGAAAAATAAAAGCCTTTGGAAAGGTGTTTAGATAGTTGAACCATACCATAGATATAAAAGACTTGAGGATTTATTTATGGTTTGCTTACATAATGGCATAGACAAATGTGCTCGTATGAATCTTCTAGCTCTAAAGGTTTTTTGTGCTGCTTTCTATGCCAGATAGCCAAAGTCTTATAACCTAGTCATCAATAGGTTTTTGAGTAATTATTTCTGATTTTAATTTAACTTATTTCAAACATGGGTCAGTTTTCAGATGAGTCTTGTATTTTTACTTAGCCACTAAATCCATTAGTGGTTTTTTTTTCTTTGATTCTTTTTTAGTCTGCAAATAAAGTTAACTGTTGTATGTCTATTTCAGCTCATTTATTGATGTCTAAAAATCATGGCCCTCTGAATATAACCTTGAACTTTATGCTCCTGTCAATGCTTTGATTCTGTACCTCAGATCTGAAACTCTGAGGGGAGACAAACAAAAAACATTAGAGATAATACTGCCTAATGTTTGGGAGGAAATTTCTCACCTTTTTTAACTTATTCAAATGGAATATTGACTTGCCTAACAGTATTTGTTATTTAGTGAAGGGAATAATTAGGTTTGGGTTGGAAAATGTATTAAGGATTGGTGAATAGGTTATAAAAAGACTGGAGCAAACACAAATGCAGTAAAATAGAGTAGAATTAGCACAGATTGTGAGGGACTGAGCAGCATATAGAACAGTCTGGCCTGCACCCACCTCTGCCTTGTAGGTATCTTGTGTGTATTTTTGGCTATTCATGCCAGTTAGTTATTATGAGAAGCACATTGTGAAAATTGGTTTCTGTTCAAACAGGTCTCAGTTTGTGCAGAGCGTGATTGCCCAGTGTCTGGTGGAACTCTCCTCTGCCAGAAGCACTTTTAGATTCACTGTTCAAGGTCATGACGGCAAAGTGTACATCTTGGTAAGAAATGATCTCACTCAGCTTTTTGTAGCCTGGTCATCCAGGGTCTCAGAAATCCTTTGGTTTTTGTCATTTCTTTTTTCTTAATTCTTGGGTCTAGAAATTAAATGATCAAAAATTGAATTTTTAATGCCAGTTTAATTCACAAATCAAACTCCCTTAATTTAATAACAAATGATGTAAATGCCTCTATATGCCAGGTACTAGAAGTTTAGAGAGAGGAAAAAAAAAAAACTAATTCCAGCTCTGTAGAAGCTCAAGCCACAAAATAAAGTTTTTTGCTCTCAGTTTTCTTGGTCAGTGTAATACATTTCTGTCTTTCTCACCTTTCTTTCTCCTATTTGATACGCTTATGTTTAAAATATGTTCTATTGCTTCTGTTTTTGTTTTATTGTTTTGTGTGTGTGTGGTGAGAGCACCTAATATGATCCACCCCTCTTTATAGATTTTTAAGTGCACAATGCAGCATTGTTAATTATAGGCACAATACTTATTTATTTTGTCTGATTAAAACTATATCCTTTGATTAGCAATTCCCCATTTCTCCCTCTCCCCAGGTCTTGGCAACCACCATTCTAGTCTGCTTCTGGGGGTTAGACTATTTTATTTGATTCCTCATGTAAGTGGAATCATGCAGTATTGTCCTGCTGTGTCTGACTTGTTTTATTGATCATAATGTCCTCGAGGTTCATCTGCATTGTCACATCTTACAAAATTGCCTCCTTTTTAAAGGCTAAATAATACTCCGTTGGATGTATGTACGACATTTTCTTTTTCCATTCATCACTGATGAACATTTAGATTGTTTCTGCATCTTGACTAGTTTCAGTAGTGCTGCAATGAACATAGAAGTGCAGATACCTCTTTGAGATCCTGATTTCAACACTTGGATGTTTGAGAAGTAGTGGCAAGTTTTGGAGAAGAGTTAGCAGAAGCATCCCCTACCTGTACCATAAGCATCTAATATTAAACTGCTTCTATGGAAAGTAATGTTCTGCAGAAAAGAATTTGGGGCAAAATGTGAAAGTCCAAGAATGAGGACCCAAGTCTCTTCTCTGTCTCCCAATCTGTTTTAATAAACCAGTAAACATAAATTGAGCACTTCTTATTTGAAAGACACTGTTCTAGGTGCTCAAGATAGAACAAAAATGCCTTCCAGGACCTCACAAGAGAAGGTCCTTGCTAATAGGGAAGCATGATAGCTAAAAGGGGTGAGGGAACTGAGGTTATTATTATGTGTGCCTTTGTGGCTGTCTATCCATCATGGGGACCCCAAACTTCTCTAATTCCAGATATTTTTCCCTTTTTTTTTTAAATTGAGATATAGTCAGTTTACAGTGTTGTATCAATTTCTGGTGTACAGAAGCATGTTTTAGTCATACATATACATACATATATTCATTTTCATATCATTTTTCATTATAGGTTACTACAAGATATTGAATATACTTCCCTGTGCTATATACAGTAGGACCTTGTTGTTTATCTATTTTATATACAGCAGTTAGTATCTGCAGATCTCGAACTCCCAATTTATCCCTCACCCCACCGTAACCAGAAGTTTGTTTTCTATGTCTGTGAGTACAGATAATTTCTATTCAAAGCTAAAGTATGTTCTGACTAAAGGTGATACTAAGCATACGTCATAGCCATAGTCTGAAATCAGTTTTCATTTTCTTTTATTGCAGGGTTTTCAAGTTGAAAATCACAAATAGATTACAATTTACAAAAGTAGTTCCTACTTTTAAGATTTACTACTAATGTGCATTTAAATTAATAAATGTTTTCTTTTTTGTAAAAGTAATACATTCTTGAAAAACATTCTAACGACATGAATGTACAAGAAGTGGTAGTCCCACATCTTGTCCCCTCTTCTGCCCTGCGGTCAGACTGTCCAGAGGTTGTCATTATTAACAGACTGACATGTGTACTTCAACAGTTTTTTCCCAAGTATTTATAGTTAGATGTACATACACCCACAGGTATTTGTAAAAATAACAGAATGATGTGATTAGCATCCTTTTTCAACATGTGTACTTCACACAACAATGTATCATGAGGATTGTTTCTAATTAGTGTAAATATGGATTGGACTCTATTAATGACCAGAGTTCCATTGTATAGCTGTTAAAGACAGGCTGCAGTGAAAATAATCTTTGCACATGTGTTTTAGTATTTTAGAAACAGGTCTTTCTAATCTTATTCAGTATTGGAATTTGTGTATTTTAAACACTGATAATTGTCACTTCCAAAAAGTTATAAACATCCTTTCTCCATTAAAGACATTCTTGGTGCCCTACCCAGGTCCCTTTCCTCCTCTGGTTTCCTCGTTTCCCATTGATGAGAATGTTGCCTGCCAGTGACCCACAGCCCCCTCTTCTCCAGAGACTTCTCTGATCCTGACAGATGCTGCCTTGCCTAGGTGGTTTCCTGTCCTAGCTATCCCAACCCCTGCCCTGCTCAGCACACTGCCACTGACTTGACCCTGGGCTACGAAACCTGCAGTCTCCTGTCTCCAGATGGGACAGCTCTGTAGGTGAGATTCGTGCTCCAGCACTCCCTGTGAGATCAGGCTGAGTCGACGTCTTTGCCTTGCTCCTTCCCTGCCTTAACCTCTCTCCCTCTCTCCCTCTCTCCTGAAAGCACGTGCATCACATCACACAACACCCCTCCACAGGCACCAAATGCGAATACCTATTCCAAACCCCTCTTCTGAACTAGATGTTGCCAGTCTTTTTGTATTTGCTAATCTGATAAGTGAAGAAGGGTGGCACAGAATTTTGCATTTCCTTATTACTAGTTGTATTAACATTTTCATATATTTATCTCTTATTTCTTCTGTTCAGTTCTGTTCATTTTCTTTGCCTGTATTTCTTGGGCTGTTTCCCCTCCTTATTGATTTTTAGGAGCTCTATCTATTATAAGTAGTAACTTTGTTATGTATGTAGTAAATATTTTCCCCTAATCACTTGTCTTTAAAAAAAAAAAAAACAACTTTAGAGGCAGGGTATAACTCAGTGGTAGAGCCTAGCATGCAAGAGGTCCTGGGCTCAATCCACAGTACCTACATTAAGAAAATAAGTAAATAAACAAGTCTAGTTACCTCTCCCCACAAACAAATTAAAAATAAATAAAAATTTTAAAAAACTACAACATTGTAAAATGATTATAAATCAATAAAGGAATTTGACACAACATTGTAAAAATGATTATAAATCAATGAAAAATTTAAAAAAAACTTTGAGTTGTCAGTGATGCTACCAAATGTTATACTTTGAAAGGTTTACCCTAGTTAAAAGTCATGTACATGATTCCTCTATATTTTATTCTGGTGTTTTATGGTTTTGTCTTGTTTCTGTTTTTTGGGGTTGTGGTATGAGATATGGATGGATAGGGAGGTGATATTCTTATACTTGGACTTCTCTCTCCATATCTTTAGCTATGGCTTTTAAATTCAGACAGTTTGGTGATTGAATCTTTGGAAAGTTCCACAAGTATCCAAAAATTCCCCCTGTTGGAAAACCTACCAAAGGCTGACTCCAGTTCTGCCTGGAATGCCATCAAGATCCTCTACCAGCCATGCATCAAAAGCAGGAATGAGAAGTAAGTTGTGCTTTATTTTCTCATTTCACGTTATGGTTTAGTTTCTGTTGCCATATTGGTGTTAAGAAAGTAATGAATTAAATGCGACTGTACCACTTCCCTCCTTGATGCTTTTAGGAATCATACTGCTACATGTTATGCTTTCAAAATAGATTAAATTATTACAGATGATTCATGCTCATGTGCAGAAAGCTTGCTTTTACTGAAAACAATTGGTCTTTTTTGGTAATCTCAGCTGTTTGTGCATATGTCTGCAGTACTAAATCAGGCTTCAACATCTATGAATATTTACTGATAAAAACTTCCCAGGCATTTGGGATACAGTAGTGAACAAAACTGAGTCCCTGCCTCCTGGGGTTGTTGTTCTAATAGAGGGAAGGAAGGCAGACCATAAAGAAAGCAGACAAAAAAAATCAAAGACTGGTATGGCTCTTGCTGTAAGTCAGGTACTCATCTGAGGGCTTCCAGATCATTTTAAGCCTCACAACAACCCTGTGGAGTAGGTACACTTACCACCCCATTTAGAGACAAGGACACTGAGACACAGGTGTTAAATTATTCTAGTGAAATGTAAATAAAGCAAGTTAAAGCAGTTGGGGAGTGGTCATAGGGGTGTAGGAGGTTGTCATTTCATACTGAAAAGTCTAAGAATGTTCCTCGGATAAAATTACATGTAAGTGGAAAACTTGAAGGCAGTGAGGGAATCAGCTAGGTCTGAGGGAAGAGCATTCCCGGCAGAGGGAACAGAAAGTGTTCATACTTGAACAGATTGAAGTTTATACTTGTCCTGTACTATCGGATGGGTTTGATCAAATCTGTGCTAAGAATGGAAAGATCCCAGTCTTTTTCTGGGAAGTACATTTAAAAAATTAAAAAATTATTGCTTGTCTTTTCTTTGAATTATGTAAACAGTACAAATCATAAAGTATTCAAACACTAGAGACTTCCATAAAGTAAAATATGAAAGTTCTCCATCATGTCCCTCTCCAGGAAAAAAAAAAAGCACGTTGGGTATTTTTCCACTTTTTTTTCCTTCCATTTTGCATCTTAACATAATTGGAATGATACATGTGCATTTTTTACACTTAAAAAAAAACAAAACAAAGAAACTCTGTGTCTTGGAGAATCTTTCCATGTCAGTGCTTGGTATTTTATGAAATGTGTGTACTTAAGTAATTTAACCATTTTTCTCTAGGTGGATATTTGGGTTATCACTTTTTTGCTGCTATAATTAGTATTGCACTACATGTTGTACATTTGTGGTTATGTATACTTTTTTTATAAGGGGATTACTAGAAATAGAATTACTAAGTCAAAGGGTATGACATTAAAAATTCTGAGAGATAATATCAAATTATTTTGTAAAAAGGCATTACAAACTTATACTCCTACTTAAAGTTTGTATAAATGCGTGTTTCCCTACACCCTCCCCTAAAATGCCGCAAGATTTTTTACCCACCTGATGGCAATCTAAATGAAAGATTCAATTGACAGTCTTTGTGTTTGACTGAGGCATGATCAGAGAATATGGTTTATGTATTTGATGGTTTGGGGACTTTGTTGAGGTGTCTGTGTGTGTACCTTTATATATTTAGACTTATATAGTCAAGTTTATTAAAACCTTTTTAGTCATCTATTTTATTTGAAATGTGGATTTTTTTGAGAGTATATGTTAAATCTCACTATGACTATAGAAAAGTCATTTTCTTCTGGTTTTGATTCCTCTTTTTGCATTATGTATTTTGAAGCTGTGTAATTAGGTCCATAAAGGTTTGTGCCATAACAGCTTGACTAATTGCATATTTTATCAGTAAGATTTTTCTCCTCTTTCATTTGATACTATTTTCCTTTAATTCTAATTTGCCTTGTTATTATTGGTATATTTACTTTCCTTTAAAAAAATTATTGATTTGTTGTATCTTTCCTTTATGTTCAGCTGTCCTGTGTTATTTTATCTTGGTATATGTCTTATTAACATATACTTTGTAAGGTATGCTTACAGAAGTCCAGATAGGGTTTATCTCTTAGGGGTGGGGAAGGTAGTGGCTGGCGGTGGGTATGAGGGGGTTCCTGGGGTGTTGGCCACATTCTGTTTCTTGGTCTAGGATTTGATTACATGGGCTCATTGAGCTGAATACTAATGATATGTGTGCTTTTCTATATGTATATTATATGTCAAGAAAAAATTTTTTAAAGAGACCAGAAGACAAAAGAATAATATCTTCAAAGCACTGAAGAGAGAAAGTCAGCAAAATGTTCAAGTAGCATGGTAAAATAAAGACATTTTTCAATCAAAAAATATATATATACTTGGTAATTAACATGTAACTGAATGTTTTAAAGCTCCCATGTGACAGTCTGTTTATTTTACTAGTGAACTTGGTTCACATTTGTGATTATTGATGTAGCTGAATTTAGTCTGCTACCTTTTACATTGGTTGCCTTCTCTGTGCCATTTCTTTCCTGTGATGATTTGGAAGTAAAAAATACCTATTTTTGTATGATTTTTAGTGGTTAACGTTAAATTTTTAATACACATCCTTAACATTTTTAAAGCTCTCATTATCTAGATTCAATTAGTATCCGTTCTCTTCACCAAAGCAAGAAATACCTCCTATCAAGGTTTCACATTCACTCTCTTGCTCCCTCCCTAAGGCACTCTCTCCCCTTTGTTGAGATCACTTGTGATTCTGATGATGGAGATTATTTCTTCTTAAAAAAGTATGAAGCCAAAGCTCTACCCCATTTGCTTACCTCTTACCTACACTCCTGCATCATGACTGTAGAAGTTTTTGTATTTTTATTGTATATCTATTTCCATAAAAGCATATAGGATTGTTTGATGTGTTTTAAAAATATTTACAAATAGTATTATACTGTAATTTTTCAGTTTTTTTCTTATTATCCTTTGTTCCACTTACTTGATTTGATAAAGTCTAATAGTTCTTTTAAACTTGGACTGTAGTCAGTCCTTGAATATCTGAAGATGTCTTATGCCTATTCTGTCTCTCCCAACACCCTGAGCATTTTCCCTTTATCTTTGGTTTTCTAAGATTTCATACAGATGTGTCTAAATATAAGTGTTTATTCAAAATTTTCTCTTATGTCATAATCTGCTCTTGCCTTGCATGTGAAATATTCTCTCAATTTCTGGAAGAATAATAATTCTACTTAAAGTCTCTGTTTTCTCTATTACCTCTTTTTCCTTGGATATTAACTCTTCTCTGTTTGAAAAGAAATGCTGTGTTTGGAACTGCATTTCATGACGTTGCTTTCTCCAAACGTTTGATGATTTTACTGGAATTCCTGCACGAGGATGTGAACTCCACGTGAGCCAGGACCTTGACTGCCTTGCTCATGACTACATCTAGATGAGTGCTTGTAGAAGTGCTCCAAAGCGTGCAGTTTATGCTTACATTTAACAAAACATTTGTTAAGTGAATCGCACGTGGTTTTCTGCTTATCCTTGTATCTGATAGTTGCTGTTCCATGTATTAGTGACTACATAACCTGCCTTTATGGGTTAGTGAACGAGAACTCAAAGGATATACTAGTTTGGATGTGCCAGGCTTTGGGGGGCAACTTTTGAGTGTTAAGAAAAAGGAAGTGGTTGTAGATTAAGTTATGGTGGTGAACCTTGTGTTCCTTATGAAGACTCTTTGCACTGCCTTATGAGGAGTGTTAACAGGGATTCAGTGCACCTTTCCCATCATTCCATGTATTTTAACAAATCCCTGTGACACTAGAAATATAATGACTGTGGTCTGTGTGTCCTGCTGTATGTATTAGTGGGCTTTTTTTTTTAAACTCCATATATCTTGGGGAAAAAAAGTGACATCTAATAAATGAGTTTAATTATTTCAGTTTGCCTGCTTTATAGAACTCCTTTTGATCTGCTCTTCCCCCTGCTCCTGTTTGACTCTGTGTACCCCAAAGGTGGGAGAGAAATTTCACAGGTTGGGTAAGCATTCTGTGACTTACTTTTATATTTCAAGGATGTTAGTTTCTTTCTTTTGGGGTATGACTGAACAAACCATAGACTCCCTGGCGTATTTTTGGCACATAGGGTGGTGTATTAACTATTTTAGTACAATTGGCTAGAATTTTTTTCTAGTGAAAGTGTGGATGGCCAGATGGCAGTCTAAAAGAGGAAGATAGCAAATGTAACTATGGCTTTATTTCCTTGAGCACATACAAAAAAATGGCATGTAGTATTTTTAGAATGTTCTTTTCTTTCTAGCAATAGACACACATGTCTCTTAACATTTTGAGATTTGTTTTTTTTTTAAGTCCCCCTCACCCCACCCACCCCCAGGGTTATCTTACAACTCACACTCTTTAGTTTGCATATCATAATTTAGGTCCTAAATATAAATTTTTTAGTTTGGGACTCTTTAAGTTCACTTCTGCAGTTTAATTCTGCTAATTCCTTAATTCACCTGTGACCTCATAGTCTCTAGATTGGGGGTAATTTTGCCCCTCAGAGGACATTTGGTAATGTCTGGGGACATTTTTGGTTGTCACCACTTAAGGGACTATTTGCAGCTAGTAGGTGGAGCCAGGGGTGCTCTTTAACATCCTGTGAGTCACTGGACAGCCCCTATGACAAAGAATTATCTGGCCCCAAAGGCCAAAGGGCCAAAGTTGAGATACCCTGTTCTAGGTTATCTCCTGAAATTGGGCTGCGTGTACCTGTTCCTTCTGGGTGTCATAGCCCACAGTTTTCTTGGAATGATATTTATGTGAGCAAATAAGAGAAATTTTACTGTGGCATAAGTCAAAATTGCTATAATCCCACGTGTTAACTTTGTTAGCATGAACAGGATGAGTGGTAAAATATGGTGTAAACAGTGTTACACTGCTCTCTTTTTCTTCTAGGGAAACATGAAGAATCGTGTACTTTATTAAACAATGATGAAGAATTTCATAGATATCAAAGTCCTACGATCTTATATTTTTAAGAGATGAGATCTTAGGGGAATGTAATCATTAAGTGAAAA